TATTATTATTATTATTATTATTATTATTATTATTATTATTCCCCACCACCCATTTAGCCCTTCAAAAGTAACAAAGGCAGCAAAGTGGTCCCCAGACCATGAAACCACAACCTTCCCTCTTGTGGAAATCAAAGGCAGAAATCTCCACAAAGATGTGCTGTCTCAGAGGTTTCTGTCTCAAAATGAGAACATGTGGAACTTACCCAAGAACTGAAGGGCATTTCTCAACACCTGATAGCCACTCATCACTTTGTTGATCTTATTGACAGCTAAGAGGTATCCCACCAGCATGGAAGCCAAGAACCCGCTGAAGCATCCTAGACCCTGGAAATGTGGAGGAGATAAGGAGGGTACAGAAGAGTTGGCAGAAGCATCTATTTTGCTATGGATTTCCATCATCCACCCCTAAGCTCTCTGAGTTCACTACCTTTATATAACAAGTCTGATACAGGCTGCACATAACTCTGAAAACCCAAAGTGTGGCCTTTGAAGGTCTTCAAAGCCCTCAGAAATGTTTTAAACTGTTTTAAACTTGATTTTATTGTATGTCACTCTGTGATCCTCAGAACCAAGGTGGGATAAAAAGAATTTCTCCCTCTTTTGTGGTGTAGCAGCTTGAGCCTACAACTTTGGAGATCAGTGTTTGATTTCCCCACTCAGCCACGGAAAGCCAGTGGGTAACCGTGAGCAAGCCACTCTCTCTCAGCCTCAGAAAATCCCTGTGATAGGGTCACTGTAAGTCATAAATGACTTGAAGATACAGAACAACGAAGAGTCAGAAGCATGGTGCAGTGGCTGAGTGCTGAACAAGATACTGGAGACAAGGGTTCAATTCCTCGCTTGACCACAGAGACCCACTGGGTGACTTCAGGCAAGTCACACTTTGCCAGTCCCAGAAAGTCCTGTGACAGATTTGCCTTACAGTCACCATAAGTCAGAAACAACTTGAAGGGACACAACAACAACAAAAAATTTTAAAAACATAAATACTTGACTATAAGGCGACCTCATGTATAAGTCAAGGGCAGGTTTTGGGGCCAAAATTATGGATTTTGATATGACTCTCATGGATAAGTCAAGAGTAAAACCTAGGGGCATGACCCAAGGGTAAAACCTAGGTGATCTAAAGGATGAAATAAAGGAAAACAATGCCAAACAACTTTAAAAAAATTCCAATAGGCCTAACTGTTTGCTATAACTAAGGGGGTGATGGATGAGAGAGTAGAACAGGGAAGGGGGTCAGTGCTTCCAGGACTGGTTCCTTTTTTTATGTAAGAGTCAAAATACAGTACTTACATTGACCCACGGATAAGCAGACTCAGATTTTGGGAGTTAATTTTTTGACTAAAATTTTTAGACTTATACATGAGTATATGCAGTTAATAGATCACATATCCTATCAAGAGAACTTGTAAAAGTTCCTATTTTCAGACTACAGCTCCCAGAATCCCACAGCCACCACGGCCTTCACCAGGACCCCATTACCTTATCAAGCTCCCGCTGGCGCAGCCAAACCTTGAGGAGACACACACCATCCCGCATGCCTTGAAAGCCGCTGGCTGCCTCCGAAAGGAACACCAAGTTGGACTCCATCACCAGGTCCCATAAAATGGAGTTGTTGTAGTGAGGAGTTGGCGGCTCGGTGGCTCCTGGGAAAAGAAGAGAACAAGGAAGGGAACTGAACCAAAGTCACTGGGAATACCATCAGACATGGATGCCATGTTGGCTGGGGACTGCCCTGGGTGAGGATTAAAATAATAATAAGCCAACAGCACAAGCCCAGCAATGAACTTTAAAATGGAGGCGCACTGGCTAACTTCCCTGTTCCACTGGGAGGAGAACTGTCGGGAGCAAAATCATGCATCTTGCCTGCCATGGGTTTAGTGAAAAGACAGGGTAATGGGAGTTGGTATGCTGAGGTACTGTGATGGGATATGCAGTGAAGAGATTATTGCAAGGAAGTGGTTATTCGCATCCACAGGTGGTGTGATAACAAAGGAGAGGCAGCAGGCTTGGCTTGAAACTACCAAAAGTCTTTCCTTGGGAAGAAACTGGCTGAAAGAACATGGAGAAAGAGGCATTGGAAATGGGAGAAACACAATTGTTTTCAGTCTGTTACAAATGATAAAACAGCTCACCAATAATTTGAAATTATGTGTAGTTTCATTAGGCATGGCTAACACTTGCTGCTTAGTTCTGACAACGAACGCCTCTGGTGTGGACCTACAGTTACTGAATAAAGCAGCTTCATTTATTCTGAATAAAGAATTCTGAGTAAACTGAATAAAGGTTTACTGAAGCCTGAATGTAGTTAACTGCTGCCCTTAACAAGAATGCAAGGGCAAAGGCAAGTCTTTAGGGACCCAGAAAAGACCCGCACAGAATGCCAGGAAATATAGAAAACATTAATCCACCATGGCAGTATCAAATGTTATGAGGTACATCAACAAAAAGTGCTGTGGTATCTTAAATACTAAAACATTTATAGTGGCAGGAGCTTCTACAAGTAAGAATCTGCATCAGGAGCATGAAAGCAGGAGTGGGAATCAGGCAGGCCCATAGGCCATATGTGGCCTGCAACCCTTGACTCCCCCCAGAGTACCTCAAAAGACCCCAGACTCCTAATTACACCATACATATGGAGAACGTGGTCTATGGATGACTTTGTTGTTGCTGTTGTTGTTGTGGGCTTTCTTTTCCGACTTATGACAACACTAAGGAGACTCTATCACATGGTTTTCTCAGCAAGATTTGTTCAAAGGGGGTTTCTATTGCCTTCCCTTGAGGCTGAGAGAGTGTGATTTGCCTAACATCACCCAGTGGGTGTCCATGGCCAAGTGGGGCTTTGAACCCTGGACTCCTGTAGCCCTGGTCCAACACTCAAACCATACACTCAGCTGGCTGTTGTAATTAATAATTTAATTCCATTTTAATGTTTACCTTTTATATGTCTTCAACTATATTTTATTTGTTTTAATTTGTTAGTTGCCTGACTCTCGGTTTTGGGAAAAAGTTGGGATATCAACAACAACAGCATCAGTCCTTTTCTCTGACTAAGTGTGAGTGACCTTATCCTTTCCAATACATTTGCACCTGGAAAATGATGCACGCACCAGGCCTGCCTCCAAAGCCTTCAGGCCTTTCCTTTACCCTCCTCCCCATCTCACCTGCCACAGGTGAGTCCTTCTCCGTGAACCAGGCAGTGCGGATGTTATTCTTGCTGGGATGCAAGCGGCTGGGCTTGAAAACATCTTTGGCAGGGCAGGCGAAAAGGCGGACGGTCACAATCTTTGCATCTTTCCCTAGGAGACCAACAGCAGAGAGGAAGAAATTAAGACAGAGATCTTGTATTTGAGGAGAAAGGGAGCAACTCTGAATGTGCACATCTTGAGAGTTCATCTACACTGTAGAAATGATACAGTTTGACACCACTTTAAGTGTTGTAGTGCCATCCTATGGAATCCTGAGATCTGCAGTTTTACAGGGTCTTTAGCTATCTGTGCCAAAGAGTGCTGGTGTCTTACCAAACTACAAATCCCAGGACTCTGTATGATGGCACCGTTATAGTTAAAG